CAGTATGTTCTCTTTGTCCCTCCACGGTTCAAGCTCCTCTATTTGCATTCAAATACGTGAAGTTGCCACGTGTTCAGTATAGTCTAGCCGTCTGATCGTAAATGTACCTGTTGGTCTTGTCACGATTCTCACGTCGGTAATTCTTATCACATGCCTGTCATCTCTCGGTCTGGAGAAAGAATGAAACAAGGAAAAATCTGTAACCAGAGAAGTGTCGACTTATAGTGTCGTTGGATTTTATAATTTGACACTATTTTGTTGCTTCTTTACAGTAAAAATACCATGCAATATAATCTTCTCTTGTTTGTCATCAATCAGAAAACTTTTGCTGTTGTTTTCAGATTGTACCTGCATCTTGGTACCCATTTTAATGTATAGTCTCTCATTTTCATCACACAAGTGGAACTCATTTATTCATAAGATCGATCAGGCTTCGAACACTGGACTTTGCAATTCTGAGGATAATGCTTTTCGAGTGAGCAACTGCGGCTTAAAGAATGAGCATTCATGGTCGTCTGCAGTACTTTGAGCCTTTTCACAGCGACAGTCCTTCAAAAAACCTCCTTTCCAACCTAAAAATGAAAGCATGCGGATGCTAACCTTGCAGGAGGAAGAAAAAAGTTTTATTTAATCGTTTTGAGGGAATTAATTTTACTTACCAATTGTTTCTTTAATTTACGGTTGATATCTTGTGCTGATTTTCAATTAGTACACCATCAGATGGTAAAAGGAGAATTGCATCTTGAAGACACGAACATAAGATAGCATGGCTATACGTCTCGCATGCTGTAGCACGACTACACCATCTATGCTATTCGCAGCTTCAGAATTTACTTCCTGTTTCTGGGCTGATTGCACTTAAGCGCGTGGAGCGATCATAACTTTTTTCCTCAGGTGGCAGTAAATAAAGACGCTTTGACACCATACTAAGGTTTGGACCTGGCACCTCTAAAGGGCAAAACAAGCTACTCATTTGCTGAGCCTCCGGCTCATCCTCAAAAATGCTACTGAACGAAAATTTCGCCCATTTTTGACTCTGTGCAACTAACCTAAAAATCGATAGCAAGTCGATAACGTGCTTTGTTTATACTGTCCCTTCAGTGCCATTCAAAGTAAAGATCGATTTAGCCACGACTTAACAGCCACGAGACAAACTCTTCCCATGGCGCTGAATACTTTCAAAGATAGGTGACAGCGTCAATTCGCCGGTGTACATCTCTCATCCATTTTCCATTACCAGGAAACGCGACCCCGAGGAAGGTGAATGTGAATTTCTCCGTTCGTTTGCCCGCTATGCCGTTTGTGTGCAGAGCGCAGTGGTCATAAAAACAAGAAAGCCCTGGGCTTTTCATTTTAGATGCGTTCACACCCTTGCCAAGATGCCAATAAAACAGGGTTGTCTGCAAACAGCAACCTTCTCGACTTCACATCTTCTACACCGATACCTTCTTCGCCTTGGCTACTCCTGACAATTCTATCCATGTGCAACACAAACATGATAGGGGACAGGACGCAGCCTTGGCGGAGACCAGTGCGAACGTTGAATGGCTTCGACTTAATCCCATTTACTCTGACGCAGCACCTGG